ATTTAGAATACTTTCTATTACAATCTCGAGCTAAATGGTTTTCACCGCAAATGTAGCATTCTATTTTTTATTTAACCTACTTGTTTTGAGTTAATAAATTTGTTTTCTTTCGAATTGAGATTTATTACTTCCCGTTTCGCGTTAGGAGGGATATATTTAAAATTCTTTCGTGAGAGTGATTCTGATTATGACATGCTCTATGTGTAAACTCCGAAAATGATTTTCCTTTACAAGCATAAAACATGTCACACTCTTTTCCCATTTGAATTGGTTTGAACCAATTTTGCTCCTGTTTTTTATATTTATATGAACGGCAGTTTCATTATCTAATGTTTCATATAGTTTATCGCTAACAATTAACTCCTTTAAAGAATTAAAATCATTTAAATTTCTCAAATTACAGTATTGATCCCAATTTGTTAACAAACGAGATGCCAACTGAACATGCGTTTCATTTGGCATTCGTTTCTTTTGAAATTTGCAAGCAAATTAAAGGTGTTGGCTCAAATTCTCTTAGAACTAAACTTTTTAATTTATTATAGTCGCTTATTTCTTCGTCTTTTACATAAACCAAAATATTTTTCGGCCTTTTCTCCTAGCAAATTTAAAGAATCTCTCCTTTAAATTCATCTGGCACATTTTGGTTTTAAATGAACGTTCTAAAGAAGAGAAAAATAAATTCCACCCCCTCTTGTTTCTTAGGAATCGGAAGAGTTAAAGTATGAACACTTAGAACAAAATTTTCTGTCGAAGTTTGCTTTTTTGTTTCGGGATTTGTACGCTGCAACTCATTGCTATCCCTTTGACTTTCAATTTTGCCCTTTCTAAATTTATTTTCCCAATTCTATTTCCAGTTTAACTTTTCAGATTTATTTTTTCAAACTCAAGTCGCGATTCTGCCGTTAAACGCGCTTGCTCTTCCTTTGCTTTTCTGTCGAAATAATCGAATCTAAATAGTCATCAATAAACTCTTTATTGTTTTTATATTTGTCGCTATCTAAAAATTAAATTTTCAAATCTATCATTCTCATTTCTGGGGTTATTTCCTCCCAATTCCTCCGCAATTAATATTAATTCTTCCTTTCTAGCTCCGCGAAACATGCTTAGAAAGAAAGAACTATACCAAATGAATTAAAACCAGAAAATTTAGAAAAAAAAAAATAAAAAAAACCTTGCTGAATTCGCTCAAAACGATACAAAAGGGTTGCCTACCTCGTGATTCCTTTTGACGTCTTGACTCCCTCAGGCGTTCTATATCCTGTCGTGATGCGACAATGAGATACGTTGTGGTAAAATGTATAATGTTGTTGTAGTTTTCCCCAGCAGACGTATTCTTACGGACAGCAATTTTATTCAATATAAACATGTAAATTTTAAAATTGAAGTACCCACGCGGGTAATGTTTCAAAATGGTCTCCGACCTAACGCGCCGGTGCCGAGAAACTCTCTCTCTCTCTTATAAAAAAAGAACGCATTCTTACCGGAGGGGAGCACAGTGCGCCTCCTGGTGAAGGGAGGAAACACTACAAATCTCAAATTAAATAAACCACAGTAGTTATTCCAAATGAAAATGTATGACTGAAATTATTTTTTTAACCTTCATGAGGTCATGGTAAGTATACTTGCCACCAACTTCATCAATCTAATCTCCGCATCATTTTCAGTTTATTAATATAAGTCCTACTGCATATTACAAACCTATGTCTGTATGCAAAACATAATTTGCACATTTGAGTTATATACTACATGCTGATCCCTATTTTTATAAATTTCATGAAAAGTAATATATATATCTATATACAGTCAGACCACGATTTAACGAATTCATCGAGACCAAACCTTTTCCTCGTTATTTCGGGGTCCAAGAAAAATACAAATATTTTGCACTTATCTTTTGGAAATTCTATGATAAGCAATTACACAACAGATATCCATAGTAAGAGGTAAGACACTTTTTTATTCAGCAGCTAAAAACACTATTAGTGAATTATTATGCATCAGTTAATTAGAAATTATAGAAGTGCTAGTTTGATGTCCGGGGTCATGGCGCCAATGTGGTGTTTATTTTCGCCAAGGTGGTAACATTATAAATTAACGCTAGACCGCCATCTTGGATTCCATTCCAGCAACAACAAGCGCTGCTTGGCGTCAGGACCCCGGATATCACACTAGTTCCATTTTAAAATACTGACCAATAGATGTTCGATAGTCATTTGGATTTCTGACTCAAAACAGTTCTTTTTAGTCTTTTGGCAATCATGAAAATACTGCGTCTTATAAATCCTAATGCATAAGAAGTAGGTTTTCCCAGTTTTCAAACAATGTAAAGCATTAGATTATGTGGCATTTTTGATAGGAGATTCATTATCGATTTCTGCATCAGATTCTCTATTCATTTGCTCCATCAAATCAACAATTTCTTTAAATTCAGTTGCTTAGAAAGACAGTCCGTCTTTAAGACATAATCTTGGAAATCTTAAGCTATCCCTGCTTTATAAAGTAGGATGAGATAAGAAAACAATTTCCAATTCCCTTCAAAACTCACACGATAGGTTAAACTCATAATTCATCTGCAATTGTAAAGTTTAATACTGGTTTGTAAATTTTCCCGTCAAAATTTGCAGCGAACAAGAAAAGTATTTTCTGTTCTGGACAAAAAGAATGTCATTAAAAAACACTAATACAAAAAAAAATAACAATTGAAATAGTTTGTAGATTAAGAGTTTATTATTCGTTAAATTGGCGGGTTTACCTTAACATTATATGGGGAAAAAAGAAATTTCATTAAATTGAGAAATTTGTTAAATAGGAGCTTGGTAAACCGAGGTTCAAATGCATGTATAAATAAATTTCTAATTTCATCATCATCTATAAATATAAGTTTTATGTATATAGCAATTCCTTTTGTTCAAACTGTTGTATTTAAAAAATGTATCACAAATTCTACGCTTTAAAATGCAAAAAAGCAAACAAACAAAATATAAGTATTCTTGCTTTTCTATAGCATAGGAACACGATGATAAACATACTCGCCACCAAAAAAGGCTAAAATTTCAAGTTAACTATTTAATAAGCTAAATGAATTTCCTTTCGTAAATCAATCCCGACCTAAAAAGATTTTGCCGTACAATAATTTGAAACAAAAGTAATATATATATATATATATATATATAATAATATATATATATATATATATATATATATATATATATATATATATATATATATATTACTTTAATAATATATATATTTACAAGTATTATATAGTAATATATATATATATATATATATATATATATATATATATATATATATATATATATATGGTATGTGTGTGTGTAAATCAATTCCTACTTTGGTCAGCAGAGAAAATTTTATTTTATTTGCCTTGAAATTTTCCATTTTTCTTTTATGTATGGTGTTGAACTATTTTGTTTGTTTGTTACTGTTTATTCTTTAATTAAATTTAATTATTTTAATGAAATAGTGTAGTTAAAAGAAATAACATTCGAAGAAATTAAGTCATCCCAGGTGGGATTCGAACCCACGAACTTTGGGTTAGAAGTTCAATGCACCATCCATTGCGCTACAGGGACAAAAAATGAACGATTTTCCTTCCTTTATATGCTGTTGAACAATTATTTTGGTTTTTTACTATTTATTTATTTTATAATTTAATTGATAAATTAATATTTGAAAAATAGTGTATTAAAAACAAGTGTCATCCAATACAAGTTTTAAAAAATGTATTCGAACATAAATGGATGAATAAAAGTATTTTTATTAATGAATGAAAATATGAACAATATATATATAGTATAATAAAAAAATGTGAAGAAGTACTAGAATCCACTATATATATATATATATATATATATATATATATATATATATATATATATATATATATACATAATCCAATATAAAATTTTTTTTAATATATAATCATATACATATACATACACATATATATAAAGTTATACATATATATACATATACATACACATATATATAAATTTATACATATATATACATATACATACACATATATATAAATTTTATACATATATATACATATACATAAATATATAAACAAAAAATATAAAAATAAACATATAGTTATATACCTAAGATAACTAAAAATAGGAAGAAGGCACATAGTATAAAGACAAATTCTGGCCTTAGGAACCAGGATTGCAGGTTTAAACAAGTTTTGCGGCGCCAACCTTCACCTGTAATTTGTCATACTATGTACCAAGAGGAAAGGAAAGAATTATATATGTAGAATTTAAATATTAAAAATCATTTAACTAAATAACATACGAACATAAACATAACCTACTAATTCGGAGTTAAAACGATGGCCAAAAAGTGCAGTAACGTGTTCCGCCAAACAGTGAGAGCAGAACCGCATAAAATTAATTGCACACGATAAAAAGAAAAAATATATATATATATATATATATTTATATATATATATATGTATATATATATATGTGTGTGTACTTTTAAAAAAAATCATAAAAAATAATAATCATAAAAATTGCGTAAATATAAAAGAAATTAAAAAAAATATATATTAAAAATTTTTAATAAGCATGTGGCGCCATCTATTTAATAATTGTAGAATAAATTAGATATTGTCTAAACTCTTTAAAAACATTACAAAACATAATAATTGTAAATAATTACAGTAATACAAATTGTATCATAAAAACCATTATAAATATAATTACAAAGAAAGTTAACAGGGCATCCATGTTCAATACAATGATTAAAAAAAAATTTTTTAACATTTAAAATATTAGCTTTATCGCTAACTTCATTATCATTGCGATAAATATAGTTAAAAATAATATTTCTTATATATAGATATTGATAAATTAGAATTCCAGTAAGGCACTTTGATGATATCGTAAAAATTGAAGGCATCTCTCTATCATAAATATTATCATGTGAAGTTTCAATCCTTATCATACAGTGATGTACATCTAAGTAATTTGGCTTTTATTGGATTATTATTAATTTATATATATATATATATATATATATATATATATATATATATATATATATACATATTAAGAGAGTAGTAAGAATTAAAAATGCCC